CTCAATTGCTGGGCTTGAGTTCCTCTCCGCAGGCCCACCGTCGAACCTTTGGCTCGATAGTGCTCAGTTTTCATTACCGCAAAGCGTGGGTGTAATTCGATGAGCAGTGAGTTAAGTTTGTGTGTTCAGCGACCCTAGCGCGCTGATATGGAGTTTTTTTTTAGTGAATAAGTCTTATTTTATTCATTTTTGTAGCCAGAACAAATTACAAAAGATAAGGTAGAATAAAAGAAGGAATAAGGAGAATGGCAAAAATTGGTTTGAAGTGATTGTGATTGTTATCTCCCAACCTTCGTAATGAAAAAAGAGAAGAAAAATATCCATGTTCTTAAAAAATCATATAATAATAGGGATTTTTTTTTTTTAAGTTTAAATTTTCAGCCAAATTTCGTCCGAGAAAGCGCTTTCAACCATGGATCTGCAATATTGGTGGTGAGTGAAAATTGACATGTATTTCGTTATAAAAAAGACCATGGCGGTTCAGAAACAAAAGGCAAATCAAAGAGAAAAATTAGAAACCAAGGAAATGTTTAAGTAATGTGTTGAGCAACTAAGAGTTTTTTATTGCCTTAGAATAAATACAGCATTGCTGTTCAATTTCAAAATTTTTAATACGTGTTCCAATCAAAGCCAAATTAACTCCGGAACAAAACCACGCCTAAAGCAAGAGGTACAGCTTAACTTCCAGCTACAGCAGTTCTACAAAGTAACAGTAAAGCGCATGCGAAACTGAGATAATTAAAAGAAACTATAAGTTACTGCCCGCCGCTGCTCATCCGTCTTTGCTTTGGCAAAGGCTGGCCCTTCAACAAAGTCCTTGAGCGGCAGCAGACACAGCCTAGACACCGCATAAATTGTTGTTCAACAACTACTTTTAGTACGGCAACATAGATCACTTTTTGCAGAACGATAGAACTTGAAGGTGGTCGAAAGACCGCCCACGTTGATCAAAACGCTGCAGCTGCCAGCCTCCATGGCCACCTCATCGTTGCCCTTATTGTTCCCTTATGGTTCCTTGTTCTTCACATTGCCTTTGGCACTAGGCAGCGATTTCCAAATCCAGTTAGACCCCGATGTACTGGTACTCTTGCAGTTGATGGGACATCTCTTCGCGCAGTCGAACAGGCTCCTTCTCGAGCTGAGCCACCTCATGTCCGTGACGCTCGCGAGTGTTATTTAGTTTCTGCTCCAATTCACGTACGAGCTCAAAATCGTGAGTCTGGGCATTTAGACCGTCAATACGAACACGAGTCGATCGCAACTCTTCGATGGATTTGTGCATAGATGAGGATATGCGTGTAGAAGCCCCGACGGACTTTATCCTCGTATAGCGACTCGATTATTCGCATCTGCTCTTGATACTGAGAGCGCAGCTCCTGTAGCGACTGCTTCAACTTCAACTTCAACTTTGTCCATCGATTTTGCTGTACTCTGTCTGGCGGATGCGGCGCTACTCATTTATCCCCTATGAATGGATCTGATTCTTCTTCAAGTCAAATCGCGTCAGTGTCTCCTGCTCTAAAGCCTTGCGCGTGTCCTCGAACTGCTGGCGCAGACGATCCAACTCCTTGGTCATATCGTTCAGTTCATCAGTATTCTTCTTCCGATCGGCATTGGCCATTGGCATTTCCCTCAGCAGTGCTGCACTTCTTGGTTTTCTTGTCCAGCCTGTCCTTCAGCTCCTCGTTCTCCTCCCACTGACGCTTGGACTTCATCGTATCGTTCCTCAACTGACAAGGCGAGGAACCTTGGGCAAGAAGGAACAGCATGCGACAGGGTACCGCACAGGGCACACGGAGCAGGCGGCACATTAATGAGCATGCACGAACGATAATTCAACGGCCTACGTCGGCTCACTTGATCCGCTGGCAAATGCGAAGCTAAAACCAAATCCAAAGTTTCAAGTTTACGGCATCTTTGTTCCAAATACCGAGCCATAGATCCCCAAGTTGGCAGGCTGTCAGCACTTTTTGCTGCGAGAGATTCTTCCCACTTCGCCTTTGTGGCAGGGTCCAGCTTTTGAAAAATGATCTGGTTGAGGAGGCATCCTTGAGTTTCGTCTGCTGTCATTTGAATCGGTCGAATAACTCTCGAAGAGGTGCAACGGATCCCCGCTCGACTACCCTTAGCTGCAGAATCTCGTGGATGTGAGCCTGAAATAATAATCGTCGATTACTGAAACGGTTGCGCAAAAGATCAAGGGCAACCTCATAATCCGCGTCAGTAATCTCTAACGCTCTCACTGTCTCCAGTGCTGACTACCGCAGACATGAAATAAGCCACCGATCCCGAGGGTCATAATTTTTAAGTCCTCGGCCCGCACCAATACTGCTCGTGTCCGCAGCATCCTCTCTCTGCGTGCAGCAGCAGATCCAGTGGCCTCAGCTCCAAACTCCATTATGTAATTATGCAAGCAAGCGCCGAATGCAAGAGGTACAGCTTAACTACAAAAGCTTCGAGCTACAGCAGTTATACAAAGCTCCCAAAAGCGCATGCGCTATAATGTAACATAAATCGCGAAACTGAAATAATAAAAACGAACTAGAAACTGCTGATAAGCCCGCCGCTGCTCACCCCTCTTTGCTTTGGCTGCTTGGCCCAACATATTGCGAGACCTTAATTAATATTTAACGATTAAATTAAGATCAAAAGAAAAGAAAAATCTAAATTCTAAATCGACCTAGCTCAACTTTGAAAGTGAGATCTATTTATTTATTTTATTATTATAATATTTTATACAAATTGACCATACCTAAGTATTTTAGTTGATATTATGTTTATATTATTATTTTTTCATGCCATTATATTCATTTAGCATGTACTGTTTGTTGTTAGGTCAAGTTTTACACTTTATTTATGTTTAGCGAGTAAATAAATCTTTATAATGCGCTAAATAATCCCATTTTTGACCCGAGACCCTGGGACTATTATTGACTTAAAGGATGCAGTTACAGAGATGGTAATACCCACAGGTTGGGTGGGCAAGCCGAGCTTCAAAACATCTGAGGCCTTGGACGTTCGGAACGTTTTGTAAATTGCGTGTGGCACCCCTCCTAACTCAATATCTCGCCTGAAATTTGAAGTTCGTAATGGATACGGTTTTCTAATCCCGATCATTATTGCTGTAATGAGTAACGAATGCATCAATATATATTTCTTTTTAAGATCCAGTCGTAAAAAAATCGACAAAAAAACTTGGAACTTGTTGCATCTATATTTTTGAATTCTTTTACTAGACTCACATTAGTAATATTTCTCAATAAAATACTTATATTTTTAAAAATATAATAAAAACGATTTTCCTTTTAAGTTTTTCTCGCCTTTAAAAGATTATTCGAAGACTAAGAGTTCTGCTCCAATCTTTTAAGAATAAATTACATTCCTTGGACCTGCATGAAATAATAAATTGCGTTTTGTGGGTTGCAATTTAAAAAATAATCGTATTTCTGGTTATTTCTCAGTATCTGTTGTAATTTTTTTATCAGTTACTCGTTCATTCCTGTGTTCATTGTAAGGTATGTAACAGGGATGAGGATTAAACACAAATAAACACTGGACTTGCGAAAACCAAAAAGAGGAAAGATAACGTTGACTACAAGATATGAAAAGTTTCTTCCAGTGTAAAGAGGGGAGCGGGACCCAATAAAGCTTTTTGCCCACGCGAATTCGGTCGAAGATCTCTCTCTCTCTTATCTTGTCTTCATCTCTGTACATAATTTAGTTGAATAAAGTTAGCTGAAATCAAAAACCCCCTTTCGATCGAAAAAATTCCCTCAGTAGAACATAAGCACAAACCCTGCATTTTAAAAATTCTAAGTTAATAAAAACTAAATTAAATTATTTAGCTGGGTTAGGCATGTTCAATCTAGTGATGCGTATGCAGCGCAAATTTGTGTCAGTATTTCGTCACGCCAACTCTAAAGCCCGCAAAAGTATGGGAAATCGAAAATTGACAGTTTATTAACAAGCTTAGAAGATAGTAAAATTTTGAGATTAGGCAAGCAGATTCTTGCGTTCCCTACGCACAAGTTTATTTCAGCACACTGCCACAACCTCTCTAACGGCCATAACTCGCAAGAAATAGCTAAAATCTCAGGAACTATTAGAGCCATGAAGTTGATATAGCGCATGTATAGTCTTGAGATGCCAGCGCATCTCATGCTAGTACTATTAACCAGCCACGCCCAATCCTTCGCCAACCAAGCTTAAAAAAAAGAATGCAGAAACACTACTATCTCGGTAGCTATAAGTAATATAAAGTTAAGATTATGCAGGTAGTTTCCCATTTCCCAATGGGCATGTAGCAACGCCCACTCTAACGCCTACAAAATGATGAAAAGTAGAAAAGCTAAAATCTCGGTAATTTTAAGACCTAGAAAGATACAATCGAGCATACAAATTCTTAAGATGCCACCGCAGCTCGAATGGGTATTTTCTTCCGGCCACGATTAAAAAAAAGTATTGCATTGCAACAATTGTAGCTCGAATATCATGAAGGGCAAAGTTCGAACTACAATGCTCTATAGACGAACTACAATGTCTACGACATAACTACAACATAACAGTTTCACCTGGTAGAAGCATACATCAGTACTAAGAAGTCGTTAACCAAATAACCAAAGGAAGGTCATTAATGAATAATGTAATATGTAACGCACCAAGATGTCTCCATGAGGCCTCCCGGAAGAATCATACACCACAGCAGATACTGAATCTTTAAAATGAACTCGTTGACCTCTACCAGAGCGATAACTTCGAATCCAACACAGAAGATCATTTAAGAGTAAGTTTTCCCAAAAGAAGTCGGTGATTTACGGATTAAATACTTTACTGAAGTCAATGCAAATGACATCCGTCGAAGTTTTTTGGGATATTATTAATCACGTAGGATTCTTGTGAAGGGGAATAATAAGTGACGGATAAGTATCGATTGTCACTCTGTCAGTTTGAATTGTATTCGGGGTTTACTCTTTGTTTATATCTGGCCACACTGATTGTGTTCTTAAGCTGCGTTACGTTTGGTGCCACAGACACTCCGATCAGCGATCCCATAGAAAGAGGGAGCAGATACTGCGGTAGGTCAAATATATATTAAGTTGATGTCACATCTAAGTTATATTTCCCCAACAGAATAAAACATCCATGCACACACGCTTTGTCTAGTGTTGGTTACGTTACAAGATCTGATATTTCTTGCTTCGGTGAAGTGCCAAGAGTTAGAGGCCACTCCCGGGACTTAGATCGGCGTTAGTGGGAAACGTGGACGTTTCTAAGGAAGAGTTAAACAATTTTTGGAAGAAGATTGGCTTGGGTAGAGCAGCAATACCTAAGCACGCAATCCGGTACCCTGTCAGGACCCGGCGAAAAGACTGGCTTCACATTCTGGAGAACCATCAGAATCATAAAGATTCCACATTCCGACTAGGTGAGACGAGAAATGAGATTGGACCGGGGGATATCATAAGCGTAAGTCTATAATGATTAATTTGACCAAGTGGCATGTCTAACCTGAGCAAACAACAATGCGCAGGCGTATTTCGTTTGTTCCAGCACGAAATGTGCTCCGATGAGGACGATGTCAATCCCGAGACTGTAACTTCAAGCGGCCCTGCTTAGGACACGGCTGATGAACACTGTGAAACAGGATCACAGTATGTAGATTAACGGATTTGTACTTTGGATGGATTCCAAGACCGTGCTGCACTGGATAAGCAGCGCTCACCAGCGATACAAGCAGTTTGTTGGAAATGTGGTGGCAGATATCCTGGAGTCGACAGAAGTATCCCAATGGAGATGGGTACCTACTGCCAAAAACGTGCCACCCAAAGCAACCGGGCCGCAACGCCATGTTGACCTAAGTCAAGGGTCACGATGGTTATGCGGACCGGCGTTCCTACGAAAATCGGAAGAGAATTGGCCGAAGAGTTCCTCGAGAAGTAGTTGGTGCACGGAAGCAAGCTGAATGGCTGTTACATGCAGCTCATACGCCAAGGAATCCGACTAAGGTGATATACATGAACAGCTAATATACAAATTGATCTGAGAGAATATGATTTATACGGAAATGAATTCTAAGTCTCCAGTTTGAAGATAAACGACCTCGGAAACGAGTTTAGATCCACAGAAATTAGGACTTTACCACCATTTCCGAGAAATCAGTCAAACCTATACGTTGTGTACCTACTAGGGAAAACTTTAGAATTAAGAATTTCTGAAGCTAGCTAGGTTTCATTAAAAACAATGGCCTGCGATACAAACGAGGAACTGACCGAAAACAATTTATAAACGTTAGTGGTTAGTTTTTGACTTGGTAAACGCAGCTGCCCACATCCCACAGTGGGAGCGTAACTCTCAACGGGCATCTTTGGTTTATTTTTATTCCGTCGAACGTAAATGTGTTTCCGTGGTGGAATACCAATCATTGGCTTCGGCGGGTCGGGTGGTATAACCCCGCTACCAGTGGGTGCCAGTAATCCGGACCTTGAGTTCCTCTGGTGAGTCAAGGGTAAATTCTTTTGGGCTTGTAGAAGATTTGGCACGGGAGGGTCCAATGCGACTACCTCGGATGAATGGCGAAGACGATTGAGCCATGTCCATCTGTCTGTCCGTCTGTCCGTATGAACGCTGAGATCTCAGGAAATATAAGAGATACAAAGTTCAGATTAAGCATAAAGATTCTTGAAGTGCCTACGCAGCGCAAGTTTATAACAGCATCCTGCTAGGCCCACTGTAACGCCCACAAATCGCGAAAAACTAAAATCGCTGAAATCTCAGGAACTATTAGAGCTAAAAAGTTGAAGTCAGTATGTATAATCTTTATATGACAGCGCATTTTATAGTGGTACTATTATCTGGCCACACCCACCCATACGTCCAACAAGCTCAAAAGACGGTTTTCGCATTTTCAAGAAAACCTGATATCTCGGTAACTATGAGTGATAGAAAGTTCAGATTAAGCATGTAGGTGTTTATGATGCCCCAAATGCAAATTGTTTTATTCCGATCTAGCCACGCACACCCTAACTCCCACAAAAACCGGAAAACCAAGAATGCAAAAATCTCGGGAACTATAAGAAATAGAAAGTTAGGATTAAGAATACTAATTTTAGAGATGCCATTGCAGCTCATTGTCAGTTTTCATTCGGCCACGCCCACTCTAACGCCCACAAACCGCGTAAAACTGTGGCGTCCATAATATAATAGTGTATGTCTTCTTTAGACTTTGTGAAATATACTATTGTCAATATCTATCGATTTACCAAAGAGTTTTTTTTTAAATGTAGATACTTTCCATAGAAAAGAAATTTCTTAATGATCTTGTATCATATAATAATAAAACACAATTTTTCAAAACAAACAAAGGTATTTAGCTTCTTAAAAAACCTATAGATTAAAATTGCTTAATTTATGTGGTAATTTTATCCGTTACTCCGATAGTCAAAGGGTATTTTGTAATCGATAAAAATTGTGTAACAGGCAGAAGGAAGTATATGTACATATACTTGTTTTATTTGTAAGTAAAGGCTTAAAAACGATCGGTTCTGAAGAATTTTAATCAGCATCTTAAGCTAAGTCGATCTAGCAATCTGTCTCTTCCCTTTTCTGATCGTCTGTCGGTATATCGTGGTATACCTTTAATATGTAGCATGTAGATGGAATTACAACCGAAGTCCAGGCAAAGAAAAATTAATTTTTTTTTATTTTTTATACCACATTTGAGAAACTAAATTTTATCACTTGCCAGAAAGCTTTCGGGCTTGGTAATTCGGTCTATGAATAACGAATGCAAAAAAATATATTTTTTTTTTCAAGATCTAGTCTTGTCTCTGGTGTATCTATATTCTTGAATTTACAACAATATTATTCTTCTAGACTCACAGTAGTAATATTTCTGAATAAAATACTTATAATTTTAAAAATATAATAAAAACGATTTTCCTTTACAGTTTTTTTTCCTGTGAAAGATTATTCGAAAAGTAAGAGTGCAGCTCCAAACTTTAAAGAATAAATGCCTACCTGAAATACTAAATTTCGTTTTGTGGTTGCAAATTAAAAAAATAATCGTATTTCTGGTTATTTCTCAGTATCTGTTGTAATTTTTTTTATCAGTTACTCGTTCATTCTTGTGTTTATTGTAACTATAATATTAAGCAATCTAAAAGTTAATTTTTACTTTTAAAGACAGATTTTTAAAGATTGATACCTTCTTCATTCTGAATGACTGCGATAAAACCACATTGGAGAAACTAAATTTTATCACCTCACAGATAGCTTTCGGGCTTGGTAATTCGGCTTATAATGTTACAAGCGTTACATCATAGACCGAATTACCAAGAATGAAGGATATTTGGGAATGTGCGCCATCTAAGAGACAATGTTGGAACTGAAAAGAGGCATAGAGAGAGTTGGGCATTGTTTCTCTGGGCAAAGGCCTTAGAATGGGTTAGCGCCAAAAGTCAACCATCTATAACGTCCATTCTCTTTCCACACTTTGTGAGGATTAGTTGTGCGCGACTATAGGGTTTTGCAAATCAAAGTGCAAAGTCGAAAGTCCATTGCGAATTCGTATCCAGGGGCGAAAGTGAAGGATCGGGAAGAAAACGTATTATTTTGTTGCTAGCGCTGAGTCCATTTAGGAAAGGAGGTGTAGCGGTTTTAGAGAGAAATTTTTGCCAAGCTATTATTTTTGTAACGGTCCTGCTTTGGGGTGGGCTGGGACAGAACACCGGATGCTAGCAGTTCGTTCCAACATTTGTTTGAAGAAATAGGGTTGGGGAGGAAGAGCGGTGGGATGACTCCCTTCTCTCTCTTGGAGTCCGCTTGGGTTGGACGAGACGAATTCGCAAATCCGCTAGCTAAGAAGGAAGGGGAGACCCTGGGTCGGTTAGTTGAGATGGAGGGTAAGCTCCGGGCATTTATTAATACGGCGATGCCTACCACATGAGAGAGTGTAAATGGGTAAAGAGTAGTAGCGCCCTTTGGGTCCGTTATGTGAGAGAATGAATCGAAGCTCCGTGGGTCTACTATATGAGAGAGTGAAATAGACGATGTTGAGAGGCCCTTTGGGTCTGCCGCGTGAGCGACAAGAGAGCATCGGCTAATGGCGATGGGCGGTGCTCCGTCGGTATGACCGAGTAGAATTTATTAGACTCAGCGATGAATCTTACCAAACGACGATTGTTGTCTGGAGATAAGGGTGCCCACTGCAAGGGTGAAGTTTCCTTGGGAACCGGTACTCCTTATATACCCCTTTGGCTGGAGTTTTTATGACCGTTCCCAGAAATCCCTTTGGTCGTGTTCCAGGGTCCCTGGGTAGTGTGTCCGTTCCTCCTTACTAAGGCGCGCCCACGCATTCAAATTCAAAAAATGTTTATCCCATAACAACTTCAGGGATATCCTTATAATTATAAAACAAAACTATGAACTATGGATTTCATGGATTTCTTACTTCTCTAACAATAACTCTTATTACTATTCCCTATACTATGGACTTAATTGTTTTCTTCCTTATTCAACCACTTATTCTTATACAACTAAACCTAGGCTTGGCAATTATATAAATTTTACCTATTCACTGACGCAAGGCAGCAGGAGGAGTGATCGTCGTAGAGGTATTTTTGTTTAACCCTAAAAGCAAAAAGCTCAATTGCTGGGCTTGAGTTCCTCTCCGCAGGCCCACCGTCGAACCTTTGGCTTGAGCGGGCAGTCTCAAACCAACCGCGCTCGATAGTGCTCAGTTTTCATTACCGCAATGCGTGGTGTAATTCGATAAGCAGTGAGTTAAGTTTGTGTGTTCAGCGACCCTAGCGCGCTGATATGGAGTTTTTTTTTAGTGAATAAGTCTTATTTTATTCATTTTTGTAGCCAGAACAAATTACAAAAGATAAAGTAGAATGAAAGAAGGAATAAGGAGAATGGCAAAAATTGGTTTGAAGTGATTGTGATTGTTATCTCCCAACCTTCGTAATGAAAAAAGAGAAGAAAAATATCTATGTTCTTAAAAAATCATATAATAATAAGGATTTTTTTTTTTAAGTTTAAATTTTTAGCCAAATTTCGTCCGAGAAAGCGCTTTCAACCATGGATCTGCAATATTGGTGGTGAGTGAAAATTGACATGTATTTCGTTATAAAAAAGGCCATGGCGGTACAGAAACAAAAGGCAAATCAAAGAGAAAGATTAGAAACCAAGGAAATGTTTAAGTAATGTGTTGAGCAACTAAGAGTTTTTTATTGCCTTAGAATAAATACAGCATTGCTGTTCAATTTCAAAATTTTTAATACGTGTTCCAATCAAAGCCAAATTAACTCCGGAACAAAACCACGCCTAAAGCAAGAGGTACAGCTTAACTTCCAGCTACAGCAGTTCTACAAAGTAACAGTAAAGCGCATGCGAAACTGAGATAATTAAAAGAAACTATAAGTTACTGCCCGCCGCTGCTCATCCGTCTTTGCTTTGGCAAAGGCTGGCCCTTCAACAAAGTCCTTGAGCGGCAGCAGACACAGCCTAGACACCGCATAAATTGTTGTTCAACAACTACTTTTAGTACGGCAACATGGATCACTTTTTGCATAACGATAGAACTTGAAGGTGGTCGAAAGACCGCCCACGTTGATCAAAACGCTGCAGCTGCCAGCCTGCATGGCCACCTCATCGTTGCCCTTATTGTTCCCTTATGGTTCCTTGTTCTCCACATTGCCTTTGGCACTAGGCAGCGATTTCCAAATCCAGTGAGACCCCGATGTACTGGTACTCTTGCAGTTGATGGGTCATCTCTTCGCGCAGTCGAATAAGCTCCTTCTCGAGCTGAGCCACCTCATGTCCGTGACGCTCGCGAGTGTTATTTAGTTTCTGCTCCAATTCACGTACGAGCTCAAAATCGTGAGTCTTGGCATTTAGACCGTCAATACGAACACGAGTCAATCGCAACTCTTCGATGGATTTGTGCATAGATGAGGATATGCGCGTAGAAGCCCCGACGGACTTTATCCTCGTATAGCGACTCGATAATTCGCATCTGCTCTTGATACTGAGAGCGCAGCTCCTGTAGCGACTCCTTCAACTTCAACTTCAACTTTGCCCATCGATTTTGCTGTAATCTATCTGGCGGATGCGGCGCTACTCATTTATCCCCTTTGAATGGATCTGATTCTTCTTCAAGTCAAATCGCGTCAGTGTCTCCTGCTCTAAAGCCTTGCGCGTGTCCTCGAACTGCTGGCGCAGACGATCCAACTCCTTGGTCATATCGTTCAGTTCATCAGTATTCTTCTTCCGATCGGCATTGGCCATTGGCATTTCCCTCATCAGTGCTGCACTTCTTGGTTTTCTTGTCCAGCCTGTCCTTCAGCTCCTCGTTCTCCTCCCACTGACGCTTGGACTTCATCGTATCGTTCCTCAACTGACAAGGCGAGGAACCTTGGGCAAGAAGGAACAGCATGCGACAGGGTACCGCACAGGGCACACGGAGCAGGCGGCACATTAATGAGC